ACCCCCGCCACTGGGGGGCCACTGTTGGCTATGGCGGTGGTTCCAACTGCTGCTGCTGCTTCCCAAACCCTAAACCCTAAACCCTAACCCTAAACCCTAAACCCTAAACCCTAGACGCTTGGATTCAGCGGTGTCTCGCAAGCAGCTGCTCGAGGTGCGGCGGAAGGGTACGGAGCGTGGTTTGGCTCTTTAGCTGAGGGTTTAGGGTTTTGTAATTAGGGTTTAGGGTTTTGGCTTTAGGGTTTAGGGTTGAGGGTTTAGGGTTTAGATACATCTTCACAGACGGCGGAATCTCAAGGGGCCCTTTTTCTTTTGCTGCTTTTGCTTCCACGGCTTTTCGAAAAGCAGCCATAAACAGAGACACGGACACCGTCTCTTCTTGCTGCTGCTGCTGCTGCTGCTGCAGCTGCTGCTGCGTTTCTTGCTGCTGTTGCGTTTCTTGCTGCTGTTGCTGCTGCATGTCTTGCTGCTGTTGCCGCTGCTTTTCTTGCTGCTGCTGCTTTTCTTCTTGCTGCTGCTGCTCGTTTCGTAGCTGCTGCTGCTCTTCGGGTTGCTGCTGTTCCTCTTCTTGCTGCTGCTGCTGCTGTTCTTGCTGCACCTGGTCTTGCTGCTGCTGCTGCTGCTGAAGTGCTGCAGCAAAGGCAGCATCAAACTCTGGCTCTGGCAGCAAAACAGTGGGTTCAGAAACCAAAGCCCACAGCTGCTGCCGCGTCATTTGGGGGCCCCCCTGGGGGGCCCCCTGGGGGGCCCCCTGGGGGCCCCCAGAGGGTACTTCAGTGTGGGGCCCCTGCTGCTGCAGCCAGGGCTGCCAGCGGCTGGGAGGGTTTATGAGATTCCACAGATGGTCTTCCTTTTGAGCCTTCACACGTTCCATTTGCTGCTGCTGCTGCTGCAGCAGCAGCTGCTGCTGCTGCTGCTGCTGGTCTTGTGGGTGCTGCATGCACGAAGCAACAGATTCGGAGTCCTTCTGAGTGCGGCTTCCGAAGCAAAAGCCCTCGGGGGGCCCCCCGGGGGGCCCCCTTCCTTTCTTAAATGGGTTTGGTGGGCCCTCGGGGGCCCCACAGGGGGGCCCCCACCACGCAGGGGGGCCCCCCAACTTGGGGGGCGCCCCCCAAATACATTTCGCAGCAAAGAAAGAAGCAACAGCAAGCTTCTCTTCTTTTCTCTTTTGCTGCAGCTGCTGCAGCGTGAGTTTTGTATTGGGGTCCTCCCCA